ATGGGACTTGAAACCTCTCAGCAGGGATAAAGTTTTTCTGTAGATATTGAAATCCGAGGCAGAGAACCCTAGAGAAAATGATTCCCTGGCACATTTGTACCCATGTTATTGGGTATTTTTCTGACTTACGCCTGACCTGACAATCACTAGTTTTCATGTGGACTTACATTTATGGGTCTCCCTCATAATGCATTGTCTTTTAAATGTTATCATAGTTACCACAAATACTATTCATGTCACTGAAGTCATCAGCCATTCTTGTTTTATTTCCCTCTTTTTTTTTTTCCCAGCCCTGCCACTAGGGTTTGAATTCACGGCATTGTTCTTATTTGTGTTTTTGCTACTGTTGTGGAGATGGAATGTCACAGACTTTTCTGCCTTGGCTGGCTTTAAGCTATGATCCTCAGTCTCAGCTTCCTGTGTAGTTAGGATTACAGGTATGAGCCCAAACTGGCCAGCTTTTTTTTGTTTTGTTTTTATTCCTTCCTCCTTCTTTTCCTTCATTTTGTTTTGTTTGAAACAAGATCTTGCTGTAGCCCAGACTCCACTGGAACTTACTATATAGCTTGGGCTGGCTTGAAACTCATGATCTTCCTGTCTGTTTTTCAAGTAGTAAAATTACCAATGTATAGATGTGTGGGCTTGACAATTTTTGTTTTTGACAGTTCTGGGACTTGAACTAAGGGCCTGAGCTCTGTCCCTGAGCCTCTCAGGTGCTCAAGGCTAGCACTCTACCACTTGAGCCATAGCACCACTTCTAGTTTTTTCTGAGAAATATATTGGAGATAGGAGTCTCATAGACTTTTCTGCCTGGGCTGGCTTTAAACTGCGATCCTCAGATATCAGCCGCCTGAGTAGCTAGGATTACAGACACCGAGGCTGGGCTTGGGCTTGACATTTATTAATAGTGTTGAGTAACGAATCCAGGGCCTTTAACATGCTAGGGAAGCATTTTACCACTGCGCTATACTCAAGTCAATCACTGCCTTGAGAAAGTGCTCCTATATAATCTTATACCATGTGTAATACACATTATATGCTGTATATTATAAAATGAATAGATCTTGTAGTGCCTCCTGGTGTCGCCTCTTCCTCTGCTGAGCACATTTTGTGATTTCTTGTTGAAACTGTCAAATAGAGAATTGGAATCCATGCCAAAGCACAAAGGTGACATTGAAGTTGTCTCCACTCTGCCAGTTTGTCTGGACATGATTCTTACTCTTTCATACTGTCAGTAGAAATTTAATGCTATTGCCTGGTGTGGGAAAATCATGCCTGTAATCCTAGCGATTCAGGAGGCTGAGATCTGAGGATTGTGGTTAAAGGCAGCCTGGGCAGGAAAGTCTGTGAGACTCTTAACTCTAACTACCAGAAAACCGGAAGTGGTGCTGTGGCTCAAGTGGTAGAGCGCTCGCCTAGAGCTAAAGAGCTCAGAGACAGTGCCCAGACCCAGAGTTCAAGCCTCATGATCGAAGGAAAAAAATTTTTATATTATCTTATATGACAAACAACTTATTATTTTCCATATAATGATCAGTTTATCCTTATCTCCAATCTGTCTACACCTGTCCCTCTGAACCTGTGCTGCCAGAGAGTTGATATGACCAGGGTCACAGAAGGTGTTTGTCTGGTGTAGACTGAAGAATCTACTAGAAGGCAGGGAAAGACTGTTAGGGGTATGGTAGCTTGAATGAGAAATGTCCTCATGTGTTGGATTCATGGTATCCAGCTGGTGGTGCTATTTTGGGAGGCAGTGGAAATTTAGGAGGTTGAGTCCTGGGTCATTGGGAGGGAGGTGTGCGCCTTTGAAGGTTGTAACTGGTCCCCAATCCCTGACCCTCTCTGCATCCTGACTACCATAAAGTGAAAAGCCTTCTGTCACAATCTTGTTCTGTTCTGCCCAGTTACGTGGAGCCAAAAGACCATGGACTGAACCCTCTGAAATCCTAAGCCCAAACAAACCTTGCCTGCTTTAAGTTGTTCTCTCAGACATTTTGGTCACAGTTACTTAACACTAACACAGGGAGGAAACCATGACAGAATTGAGGTATGAAAATCCTTAGTGAGAACTGCATTTGTGCTTTGACCTGGTACTTATCACATTTAATTATGTAATTATGGTTGAATCATTTGCTTTCTTCACCATTCTTTGCCTAATCCAACATGCAAGAGGGAGATAGTTCTTGTGAAAGTTTGGTGGGTTAAAAGCTCAATCTTTCCAATGACCGCATGGTGTATTTTTGCCACAGATAAGATCATTTAGTTGGAATCCTGTAATGTATGATTATTACTCAGCCTCCTTGTCATTTTCCCTTTGAAAGGCATTCAGGTTGCAAATTGTTATTTGAACAGTACTGATTATCAGTTGCCCTGAATATTTAGTGAACACAGAAAATAACTGGCTTTGGTTTCAAATGGTGGCAGATGTTTTAAAGTTTGATCTAAATTATTTTATTTTTGCTGGTCCTGGGGCTTGAACTCAGGGCCTACATTTAGGCCCTAAGTTTTTTTGTTTTGCTCAAGGCTAATGTTCTGCCACTTGAGCCACAACTCTACTTTTTGGTGGTTAATTGGAGAAAAGTTTGATGGACTGTTCCTTCCCCAGATAGCTATGAACCATAATTCTCAGATCTCAGCCTCCTTAATAGGTAGGATTGAGTGTAAGCCACCAATGCCCCACCCAAATTTTAGGTTTGCTATTTTCAGTCCCATGCTCCTATGAAGGACTTATTCCATGTCCACCTTTCCTTGCCTAAAATTCACACAAAACCTTAAGCTGGGGTACTGGTAGCTAACATCTGTAATTTTTTTTCTTTTTTCTTGCCAGTCTGGGCCTGGGCACCCTCCCTTAGCTCTTCAGCTCAAGGCGAGTGCTCTACCACTTGAGCTTCCGGCCTTTTCTGCTTCTGTGGTGCTGAGGAATCAAACCCAGGGCCTCATGCGTGCAAGGCAAGCGCTCTACCACTGAGCCACCTTCCCAGCCTTTTTTCTTTTTATACACCTGTAATCTTGCCTGAGTAGGCAAGAGTTGAGGATCCTGGTTCAAAGCCTGAGTAGTAAAAACCAAGAGACTCATATCTCCAATTAACCACCAAAGAGCTGAAAGTAGAGCTGGGGCTCAAAGTGCTAGTCTTGCACAAAAAAGCTCAGGGACTGTGCTGTACCTAGGCCTGAATTCAAGCCCCAGGACCAGCGCACTCAAAAATAATGTTGGTTAATCTTCATGCATGAAGTCCTGGCCCCAGGACCAAAAGGGGGAAAAAAGGCTAAATCTACAAGGACTAGCAATCTAGAAAAAGATGAGATAGGGGCTGGGAAGGTGGCTCAGTGGTAGAGCGCTTGCCTTGCATGCATGAGGCCCTGGGTTCAATTCCTCAGCACCATACAAGCAGAAAAGGTTGGAAGTAGAGCTGTGGCTCAAGTGGTAGAGCACTCTCCTTGAGCTGAAGAGCTGAGGGACAGCGCCCAGGCCCAGAGTTCAGGCACCATGACTGGCAAAAAAAGAAAAAGAAAAAAGAAAAAGATGAGATATCCAATCTGCCATCTTTCAATGAGCAGCTTATCATGTGAGAAAAGGAAGCCCTAAAACCTACTTTTGAGTAGGTCCGGAGATGTCTCCACATTTTAAATAAGCAGCTCTCCTTTTGGATACTCTAAACAATAGTCCAGTGTTTGAAAGTTTGCTAGACTGGGGCTGGGAAGTTGGCTCAGTGGTAGAGTGCTTGCCTTGCATGCCTAAGGCCCTGGGTTCGATTCCTCAGCACCACATAAGCAAAAAGAAAGCCAGAAGTGGAGCTGTGGCTCAAGTGGTAGAGCACTAGCCTTGAGCTGAAGAGCTGAGGGACAGTGCTCAGGCCCAGAGTTCAGGCCCCACAACCGGACCCAAAAAAAAAAAAAAAAGAAAGTTTGCTAGACTTCATGAACATGTGTATTTATTCTCCTATCTCAGAAAAGAATAAAGGCAAGTAATAGCTGCCATTTTGAGTCTTTAACTTCCATTTCCTGCATGGGTCAGGAAATGTTTGCCTTATATTAAAATCTTTATAAAAACTCACTTGATCAAAGTAACTCCCCTTTTCCCATTTTTTTGGGTCAGTTGTGAGTCTTGAACTCTGGGCCTGGGTGCTGTCCTTCAGCTCTTCAGCTCAAGGTTAGTGCTCTACCACTTGAGCCACAGCGCCACTTCCTCCCTCCATTTTTAGTGAAACCCACTGAAATGCTTATCATGCATGAATCTCATAGACCTATAATTGGTGGGGCACCAGGGACTCATGCCTGTAATGCTGGCTATTCAGATCACAGATGAGGATCCTGGTTCAAAGCCAGCCCATACAGGAATATCCCTGAGACTCTTATATCCAAGTAGCCACCAGAAAACTGGAAGTGAAGCTGTGGCTGAAGTGGTCGAGCACTAGCCTTGAGCACAAAGAGATTCAAGGCCAGCATCCAGGCTCCCAGATCAAGCCCTATAACAGACCAAAACAAAAACTTGTAATTACATGTAGAGTCTGGGAAGCAGAGAAAAGCCCTCATTTTCTGGTGATGGTGCAGGAAGCAGGTGTTCTGGAAACACTGAACTAAGTAACAAGATGGCCTTAATACACACACTGGCTGGGGGCTGAGGGCTCCTGTCTGTAGTGTTAGCTAGGAAGCTAAGATCAGAGGATTATGGTTCAAAGCAACCTGGGGAGACAAGTCCATGAGACTATTTCCAATTAACCAGCAAAACAGAACCCGAAGTGGAACTCAAGTAGTAGAGTGCCAGCCCTAACGGGCTGTGCTCAGGCCTCAAGCCTCACTCCTAGCCTGTGTGCCTGTGTGCATGCATACATATACCCAATCTATCAATTTTCCTTGCAGAGATAAGGAAGCTTTGTGCGCAACTCTGACTGGGAGAAGAGGAATTGAGAGGGGGCAGTTAGAGAGTTCTGTTCCCTCTACTGGCAGAGAAGCCAACAAGCCCAGACCACAGTCACAACAAAAATCTGGTTAGAGAAACCTGTTATTAAATTTAATTTTCTTTAAATACATCACATTCTCCCATCCTCACCCACTCTGGAGAGAAGACTCCGATCTCCCCCTCAGTTCTGGGGAGAAGGGGAGGTCCCATTTGCAAAGCCTGAGATGTTGAGGATAAAGTATAAAAATACTATGTACAAAGGGGAAGGCAGGTTTCTGTTGCTCCTGTAACCAAATCACCCCCTGACCCAAAGGCCCCTTTTGTTCCTTTAAGGGGGAAACCCCCCCCCCCCAGTAAAAAACCCCTGGGTATTAGTTGAGCATAAAACAAGCCCTTCCTCCGTAGAGGTTCTCAATCCCCACCATGGAATAGGAAGCTCTGATCGGGGGAGGAGGGAGAGAGTGGGTAGCACCTCAGATCCTAGCAGAGGATGGATTTCCCAGTTCCTGTCAGCCAGTCCCGGGCCATCCTTGTTCTGATAGGTCCCTTGTAAACATTGACTTTGTCCTCAGACAGTTCCTCACTCCACCCCGGTTTTAATGCAGAGCCTTCTAGCCTCTCAGCCTCTCCTTCTCTGATCGTTCCTGTCTTAGGGGGGAAGCGGGGTGAAGAGGGAAGGAGTGGTGAGGCAGAGCCAGCTTATCCCTTCCAGGTAAGTGCATCTTGTCCTCCTCAGGGCAAACCCGAAGAGGGTGCTGTGTTCATGGCCAGATGAAGGTGGACACCTTCCCTGAGCAGAGATGAGGCAGGTGGACCGTTCGGTACTGGCTTTGCAATGGTCTGGTTGGCTGAGGCCATCAGTACGGAGTAACAGGAAAGGGAGCTTCAGAAAAGGCAAGTGTGCCACTGGTCTTGCCCTATTGGAGAAAGCCCAGTGTCCTCCCCTTTTGGTAAGCATGGCTGTCACCACCCAATTGTTTTGTCCACTGTAGTTATGCAAGAGAGGGCCTAGGCGTTCTCCAGCTTCTGTGCAGGCTGCCTTCACACCAGCTCATCCAATAGGATCCCAATGCTCTGAGTGGCTTCTGTAGGACCAGCAATGGGCTTGTTGCACATGGGGCAGACACAGCGAACTTCCAGCCATTTCACCAGACACCTGCGAATGAGAGAACTATGACCTCTCTAAGAAGACACCACAGACTGCTCCAGTTGCTCCTCAGAATAAGAATGTACCCAACCTAACCCTTCGGAATGACTGGATATATAGACAGGATAGACCCTTGATCTCACTGGCAGTTGGGGGTAGATGGCAGGTGACAGGTAATTGGGAAGTTTGTTTGTTTGCTTTTTTGTTGATCCTGGGCCTGGGCACAGACTTTCCTGCCCAGGCTGGCTTTGAACCACGATCCTCAGATCTCAGCCTCCTGAGTAGCTAGGATTACAGGCATGAGCCATCAGTTCCTGGCTTGGGGAAGTTTTATACGATGCTCCCTGATTATTTCTCCTCCATAGGGCAGGCAGCCCTGATTATTTCTTCTCCATAGAGCAGGCAGCCCTGGCCACATCCCCACATACTTGCGGTGAAAGGCATGTTGGCACGGGAGCACACCCAGCTCATCCTTCCCCTTGAAGTCTTCTAGACAGACTGCACAGGTTTGCTGCAAAGAGAAGAGAGTGTTGTGAGACAGAGGAGAAGCTTATTAACCATCCTGAATATCCATGATTTCATCCCTGGCCAAGAAATCAGAGTCAGCTCAGCCTCCTCCAGCCCTGTTTTATGCATTAACCATAGGTGGCTACTTAAATTTAAACTAACCAAAATAGAAGAAAAAATCTATATAAATTTTAGTTCTTCAGTTGTCCTAGTATCTTTCTCCCACCTCACCTTCTCTATCTTTCGTCCATCCTATTTCCCTCCATCCCTCTTTTTCTTTATATGGGTACTAGAGCCTGAATCTCTCAAGAGTTGCATCCTTGCTTGTTCTTTCTGCTCAAGGCTGGCATGGCACTCTACCACTTGATCCACAGCTCCACTTCCATCTCTTAGCTGGGTTAATTGGAGATAAAGAATCTCATAGAGCTGAGGGACAGTGCCCAGGCCGAGTTAAAGCTCCATGACTGACCCCCTCTAACCCCCCACCCCGAAAAAGAATCTCATGAAATTTCTGGCTTGAGGCTGGCTTTGAACTTGTATTATAGGTGTGAGCCACTGGCAGTCAGCCCCAGTTAAATTTTTGCTGTTGTTGTTGGTTGTGGAGCTTGAAATCAAGGCCTGGGCACTGTTCAAGGCTAGCACTCTACCACTTAAGCCACAGCACCACTTCCAGCCTTCTCAGAAATTTAATTGAAAATAGAGTCTCACAGACTTTCCTGCCCAAGATGGCTTTGAACTGCAATACTCAGATCTCAGCCACTTAAGCAGCAAGGATTATAGGCATAAACCACCAGTGGCTAAACCCAGTTAAATTCTTTAAATCTATACTTCAGTTCCCATAATGATCTTCGCTGCATTATTCTTACAGAAGAAGGCTTAGGAGACATCTAAGCCTAAGTTTATAAGACAAATTGCTATGGAACTGGAGGTATAATAGCAGACATCAAAAAAACAAGAGGGGAATGAGGCTATGTCTAGGCAGTCTCGTGCTAGGCAGTCTCGTGCTTGGTGATGCCGGAATCCTCCCTACTACCAGACAACCACAAATCCTCTCTAGTTAGGAAGGTCTGTAGCTATGGGAAATGAGGTATCTTCAAAGGCATAGGTGGGACAGATCATAAAAAGTCAGAACTGAGAGGCCCCCAGGTTTGGTGCATATTGAGAGAGCGTCACAGGGAGAGGGAGAGTTACTGCAGTGGCCACATTAATCAGAGCTAGTTGGTTAAACACAGGGTACGTTAACAATGCTTTTATTTTCTTTAGGGAATAACAGGCCACAGGAACTAACATTAGGAAAGCTAGCTGAGTTCTTTCTGTCTAGGACAGAAAGTGGTGTAACTATCCTTCCCTTAAAGATTCCGCACAGCAGGATTCCTGGGGCAATGTGTCATACTACCTAAACCTTTTTGTGATCCCAGGAGGACACTTACCCCATAAAGCTGTAACTTCTTGGCATCACCTTTAAGAACCACCTGGGGAGGGAAAAAGGAGGGATGAGGTCTAAAGGCATCAATTATACAAAGGAGCCAATGAGGTAGCCCCAGTCTTCCCCAACGGAGACTCCAATCTCTCTTGAAAGGCTCTGGAAAGACTGGACAAGACCAGCCAGAGGACAAGTAACAGGAGAGCGAGTCTCAGGGAGATCCAGGGAGAGAGGACAAGGGAACTTAGGCAGGGGAGCTTGGGCTTGTCCTCCTGTCTCCTTCCTATCAGGGTAAGTGGAGCCCAGGAAGAAACAGGGAAAGGGTAGAATGTTACCTCCTTATAGCCGTATCGTTCACTCTGTGCTTGGTTCCGGAGTTTGCTGGGGGAAAAAAAAGGAAGATAGCAGGTTACTCTTCCTTTTCATAGACAGAGCCATGACATTAAGCTGGGCTGGCTGAATACTTGAGCATCCTTCTAGCAGTGAGGCAAGGGTCCCTTGACCCACAGCTAGCACAAGTCATGGTTTGGACCTATGCAGGCCACTCAGAGTTCACTAAGGACTCAGACCCTTACTGATTTACTGCCAAGCTGGAAGATTCTCCATAAAGCACCCCAAAGAGCTCATTCTCTCCTCTCTTGATCTTTCCCAGTAAATTCCTTGGGATGTGCTTATGGGATGTACACAGGGAGTTACACAGATATTCTTAAGAGGGATATTTCCACATCGCCAGGGTAGAAGGATCAGTAAGTTTCTGTTGACCCTGGGGAATTTTCCACTCAGAGAATAGAAGAAATTCTAGAATCAAAGCACACTTGTCTTCAGTGCCAGACAAACTACCCAGACTACATCTTCTTTGTTCTCTCCTTTTCATTCTAAGCCAGTGGGCTGCAGACAGCCTGACTCTCAAAAGCCAAAACATGGCATGTTGTTACTAATAGCAATGGCATAATAGTTCACCAAGGACATGTTGTGTGTTGCTCCCAGAGAGACATTGTCCAATGTGTTCTCACTGGATCCAAAAAACATTTAAGAGGGGGATATTTTCCCTTTTATAGATAAGGCAAATGGAGCCCAAAGAAATGAAGCAAATTTCCCAGAGCTAGTTGGCAAGAGTGCCTGGATCAGAATCAAAAGCTATGTGATTACAGAGCCTGTCCTTTACCACAGAACATGACCTGTCCCATTAGGTGGAATACACCACAATCCTGAGAATGTGATGTGATTTGGAAACACAGCCCACATTTCATGAAGTTTTCTCCGAATGGCTTACGGTGCAAATGGCTCCCATTGTAATCATGAACTGATTTTGCATGGTTTCATTTTCAGTAGGGAAAACTTTTACTCTGAATTCTGTAGTCAGTTCTGCTTGTTTTTGTTTTTGATGAACAAGGTTTTGCTATGCAGCTTACACTGGCCTTGAACTCAGGATCCCTTTGCACTGGTCTCTTGAGTGCTAAACCTACAAGCATGCACCACCATGGACAGCTACAGATAACTTTAGATGGCCCCATGGAAACTAATGGCGCTTTCTCACACCTCCCCTCCCTTTTTTTGTCAGTCATAGGATTTGAATTCAGGGCCTAGCTCTTTTTGCTCAAGGCCACCACTCTACCACTTAAGCAACAGCATCACTTCCAGTTTTTGAGTGGTTAATTGGAGATAAGAGTCTCACAGCCTTTCCTGCCTAGGCTGGCTTTGAACCATGTTCCTCAGATCTCAGCCTCCTGAGTAGCTAGGATTATAGGCATGAGCTTCTGGCACCTGGCTCAGTCTATATATTCTGCTTTTGCACAGTAACACAGAGCTGGGTGACCAAGACTTCCCAACTTACAAAGCCTACAGAAAATGGATTGCTGGCCAAACTTAGAAAATAGAACCTCAAATCACTAGAGGTTGAAATGCCCCTGGGGTAGTCCGAGAGGAAGAAGGTACAGGCAGGCTATGCCCAGGGTGGTACAGGGAAGATAAGATCAGGCTACAATCCTCCTCCATCCTTCCTGACAGGAGGTCATGTGACCTGGCAAGTCTATGTTCCTGGAGCCTGGGGAGAAGTCTGGTCCAAGTGGACTCCTGCCAGGGTTGGGGCTGGGTAGCACAGCTACTGTCTCTTCTCTCCACCTTGTGCTTTCTGTTCATTGCAGAGTTGGGCTGAATGTCTAGCCAGTCCTCCTACTGTCCCATTATTAACTGGCAGGGAGCTCTTTAGTCCAGAAAAAAAGGTTTTTAATTGTTTCAAACAGGGTAGGTCTCTTTAAGTACCCCACATTGGTATCAAACTCACCATCCTTCTGCCTATACCTCTTGAATGCTGGGATTATCAGTATAAAGCACCCAGCTCAGAGAAAGTTTCCATATATAATACAAATGTTTCTTGCCCAATTTCCAAGAGGAAGGGGCACTGGCTAGTACTGAATTAGCCTGGGGTAAAAAGACATGCTCCCATGATCAGGAAGGTCTTAGCAGTCTCCTGAGGGAAAAAAAGAAACACTGCTGCTCCATGATGGCTGAGTAAAGGAAATAGTATAAGGCCTGCATGTGGTTCATTTGTGTGTGTTCTCTCTTTTTCTTTCATGGTTCTGAGGTCAAAGCTATACTAGACAATAACTATACTTATCTACATCCCTTTCTGAACTCTTTGTCTGGGGAGTAAGGGAAAGCCACACATCTCTGCAACATGTCTATACTTGTATAAATATATGAGGCGCCTTTCGGCTTGTCAGGCCCTAGGAGTCGAAGGTACCCCTGGCTATCACCCCTCTAGTCTGGCTAGTGTTTACCCAAGAACCTCCAGCCATCTTAGAATGGAGAAGGGCTTGAGAGCTGTGCCTTCATCCTACAGAAACAATTCAGTTCAGGAAGGATTAGATCATATTGAAAACAGGGCTGAAAAGGTTGTAAAGAAAACAGAGCAGAAAGCAAAGACCTTGGGCATTCCAGCTGGGGAGGGAGGCCAACAGCTTTGGACAGGTGGCCTTCTCAGCTGCTGGTTGAGCAAAGCAACTAAAAATACTCCAATTTCAATGAGCCCATTTGTAGCCACTGCCAGCAGGCTCTCCCTTTCCTCTTTTCCCTTTTAGAACAAACAATGCAGCCAGATCCTGAAAATAATTGTTCCTTTCCTGCCTATTTGTGCTCCACTAGCCCTTCCATCCTGTGTAGGACATACAGGGCAGCTCTGAGTGGGAGAAGAAGGGGGTAGCTGGCCTTGGTTCATGAGCTCACCAGATCAGAAACAGTGGTCATGAGCCTATTTTGGCCGAGAAGGAAACAGAGAAGCAAGGAGAGGAAGTGGCTTCTGAGCTTGTATGTCTTTCTATATATAGGCACATATAAGACATTAGTGAGCTTCTGGACCTATGAAAACTCCAGGGTCAACTGGCTTCAGGCTGGCTGTAAGACAGAGGGCAGGGTGATGAAGTAACAGATCACTTGCAGAAGGGAAAGGTGGCCCCCAGCAGTACCACAGTAGGAATAGCTTTTGTACCATGGGGTTACCACTCTGTGCTTTTCTGCTCCACGCAAAGAGACACAAACCGGTGGTACTCAGCTTCCCAGTCTGTTCTATAGGATCCCTGTACCCAGCTGTAAGGGGAAGGCACAGTCACCCCAGCAGCTCCCCGACTTCCCATGAAGGGACAGAAGGCAAACAAATATATGGAAGGAATCTGAAATGAAAGACGCATTGTGCCCAGATTGACCACCTCAGCATCTCTCTGGATGTCATGACCTTGGGCAGACCCTTAACTGTCAGGGCATGAATGTCTTCATTTATACAGCAGGCAAATACTTAAACTGTAGCATTGGTCTCAGAATTCAGTGATCGAAATGATTTACCAAATGCTGGCCACATGCTTGGCACACACAAAGGCCCTTGACAAAGACTAGGCTGACAACTTAAGGTCATGCCTATTATTGGCCCTTAGGAAATCCTTGTCACCCATTTCCTGGGTAGAAAGATTGTCTCTGGATTTTCTGCTGTTGCCTTTGGAGTGTGTGTGTGTGTGTGTGTGTGTGTGTGTGCGCGCGCGCGTGTGTGCGTGCAGGTTTGCATATGTGCGTGCACACACAAAGCATGTGTGAGTCCATGTATATATGGAAAGAGCTGGTTTTATGTTCCTCCAATTCTCATCCTAAGTAAGTCTTTGGTATTAGATTTCGGGGAAATTAGGTAAATTGCTGGATTTGGGGGTTGTATGTGTTTCTCCTGAGTAGCTGGGCCTACAGAAGCATGCTAATGCACTTGGCCTATAAAATGATACCTTCCCAACAATATGGGGGAAACCCCTTCTATCATTATACAATCTGCTTATAGGCCATTGATAAGAATAGTTTGAAAGAGGAAACTTGGCATTCAAGAAAAGGGAAAGGAGCCAGGCACTAGTGGCTCATGAGTAATCCTGCTCAGGAGGCTGAGATCTAAGGATCATGGCTCAAAACCATCCAGGGCAGAAATGTCTGTGAGACTTAACCACCATGGCCAGAAGCAGAACAGTGACTCAAAAGTAGAGCACCAGCCCTGAGCACAAAAACTCAATGACAGCAGCTAGGCCTTGAGTTCAAACAACAGGACCAGTAACAAAACAAGCAAACAAAGTAGGCCCTTACAAGGTACAAAAATGAGTAACTCTCTGGGCCGGGAATATGGCTTAGTGGTAGAGGCTTGCCTAGCATGCATGAAGCCCTGGCTTTGATTCCCCAGTACCACATACACAGAAAAAGCCAGAAGTGGCACTGTGGCTCTCAAGTGGTAGAGGGCTAATCTTGAGCAAGCCTTGAATTCAAGCCAGGACCGGCTAAAAAACAAAACAAACAAAACAAAACAAAAATGAAGTAGCTCTCCAGATATGGCTAATATCATTATCTAGAGTTGACAACAGGATTTTGCCAGGAGGGCAAAAAACCAAAAACAAAATCACATTCTGCTGGAGTAATTGGTGCCCACGGATTCCTAGATAACTAGAGAACTTAAGTCAGGAGAAGACCACTGAATTAAGAAGACCACCAACTCACTTACTCAGTCAGACAGTAAGTAATACTAGGCAACCTTAGAGTAACTGACCAAGAGGTAGGGTGCAGTCCAACCCTCAGTGACCTTATATGCTCTGGGACAACTTGATAGGCTGACAGAAATAGAAGCACAGATACCAGAGAGGGGTACAGGGTAAGCCATGTGCTCCGAGCAGCAGTATTAGCAGTATTAGCTTTGGGACCCTCACTCAGCCCTGCCCCCAACCCTGGTCTTTTTTCCTTGACTCTGCTCCCAGATTGATCAGTGACCTTACATACCTGATGAAATAACAGCAGAAAATGAGGCTGAGCATAAAGACAAAAATGCCGGTGCCAAAGATGACCATGTAGATGTTGAGGGGAAGGTCTTGGAAACTGATGGGTGGCATTGAGCAGGACTTGTTGGTGCTAACCAGTCCCAGGCCACAGAAACACCCTGAAAAGGAAGATGGAAATATTAAGAGCTAGCTACAGGACTGGGAAGGTGGCTTAGTGGTAAGAGTGCGTGGCTAGCATGCATAAAGCCCTGGGTTCGATTCTTCAGTACCACATCAACAGAAAAAGCTGGAAGTGGCACTGTGGCTCAAGTGGTAGAGTGCTAGTAGCCTTGAGCAAAAGCAGCTCAAGGACAATGCCTAGGCCCTGAGTTCAAGCCCCAGGACTGGCAAAAAAATGAAAGCCAGTTACTTACCACTGGGATTAATTTCATACTGTGTCACTCATACATTAATGGCAGGAGCTATCTTCAATCTGGGTATTTGTTTTTATGTTTTGCTTTGTGCTAGTCCTGACACTTGAACTCAGGGCCTGGGTGCAGTCTCTGTGCTCAAGGCTAGTGCTCTATCACTTGGGCTGCTGCAGCTCTACTTCCAGCTGGTTTGTTGTTAGTTGTTTGTTTGTTTCTTAATGGTTAATTGGAGATAAGTCTAATGGAGATTCCTGCCTGGGCTGGCTTCAAATTAAGATCCTCAGATCTCAACCTGAGTAGCTAGGATGAGCCTTTAATTTGAGGGCTTGAGCTTATATATCCCAGGGCTAATCTTACTAGCTTTGTTTCACCAATCTCTGAAAGGGAAATGCTAGACAAAGTACTGAAAGATCCAAGTGATGGCCAGAAAGTAGAAAACCTCCATTCCATTAGGTAGAAGGGGCTCACAGAATATATACAGAACCAACCAGAAGAGCCCTAGGTGAGAAAACATTTGGGTTCTGACCTGCCTCTCCTTAGTGAACTACGTGACCTTTAAGAAGTTAGCTCTAGGGGCTGGGAAGGTGGCTCAGTGGTAGAGCACTTACCTTGTATGCATGAGGCCCTGGGTTCGATTCCTCAGCACCACATAAGCAGAAAAAGCCAGAAGTGGCGCTGTGGCTCAAGTGGTAGAGCGTTAGCCTTGAGCTGAAGAGCTGAGGGACAGCGTCCAGGCCCAGAGCTCAGGCCCCAGGACCGGACCCCTCCCCCCCACAAAAAAAAAAAGCTCTCTAGGCTTCACTTTGTCATAGAAAAACTAGCAAAATATAAAGACTGAAAATGATGGGGTAAGAAATTGGCTTCATAAATTGCAAAGTGCATCTACAAAGGTCATTTGTCATTATTAAGCCACCTGCTTCAAAAGACAGGCTGTGCCAGGACTAGAATAGAAAGTGTTCACTCCAAGACCAGCCAGTGTTCCAGAAAGTGGCGATGGTGTGTGGGGGTGGGGAGCTGCAGCTTCCTTTACTGGCTCCTTCCTACTCAAAGCCTTAAGGCACACACACAGTGCCACAGGTCCAGTAGGTCCCTAGGAGGTGGTTAGACATGCAGAATCTCAGATAGACCCATGAGTAAATGAACCCGAATCTGCATTTTCACAAGCTCCTTGTGGATTCCTCTGCACACGTAGTTTGAGAAGCACTGGTGAGCTACTAGCTGCTTCTCTTCCCACAGGGCTCAGGAATAGTAGTGGCCCTCTAATTGTGATAGTTTTCTCCCCTTTGCCAGGATTTGGTAATGCTGGCACATGACCCAGTTCTGGGCAAAGAAACTTTTAAGGAAAGCTTTTTTCTTATGTCTCCATAATACACCAAGGCTGGAAGCCAAGTTGTAGCTGGAAAGAAAACAGTCTGATAAGATAGAAAGCCAGAGGCTGAGTGTGGCAGTGGCAGAGGGAAAGGCCTTGATTAATGAGAATAAGCTGCATTCCAACCACATTCTCATGCTACCAAATTAGTCTAGTTTGTTTTTAAACAGATGGGATCTTGCCACGTTGCCCAACTGAAACTTGAACTGCTGGGTTAAAGTGATTCTCCTGTGTAGCTGGGACTACAGAAGCATGCTAATGTACTTGGCCTATAAAATGATACCTTCCCAACAATATGGGGGAAGCCCCTTCTATCATTACACAATCTGCTTATAGTTGTCACAGTTTACTGTAAAAGTCCCTCTGCACTCAGGCAGTGGATTCTCCTCTGGCATCTTGGTTAGGAGCTAGGACCCATTACTGTACAGCAGAATTCTACCTGGTAATTACCAGAGCTACCACAACTCAGTGTTAGGCCAGGTAAGAAGATCAGAATCAACTCTGACATGCTGTTATGGCTTGGAAACTAAGTGTTACCCCGTTTATGTGCAGAATACATTTCTCAGGTTGCTGGTACTATTTGGTTGGGGAGACTCTGGAAACTTGGGAATGAAGTGTATTAACTGGAGGACGTAGTTCAATGGAGGCAAATCTGAAAGCTGTGTCTCTTGTCAATTTCTGGTTGCCACCTGAAGCCACAAGCAACACAAATCTTCCCTGCCTGAAGTAAATTGCTCTCAGACATTCATTCAGTGATGGGAAAGCTACACACACACACAAGTACATCTTATTTCTCTTCCTCCCTTATATATCCAACTAATGACTACAAACTTCCATTCAAATGCTGCCTTATCCTACTGTAACCTCTTTTTTTGCTGTGCTGGCAGTGGGGCTTGAACTCAGATCCTGAGTGCTGAACTCAGGCTTAACTAGTACTCTACTACTCCCTCTTCTGGCTTTTTGGTGGTTAATTAGAAATAATAGTCTCAGACTTTACTGTCCACACTGTGATCCTCAGATCTTCACCTCTTGAGTAGCTAGGATTACAGGCATGAGCAACCAGCACCTGGTCAAATCCTCCCTCTCCTCCCCAACTTTTAAGCATACTACCTAACCTACTGTCTATTAAAACATGTCATCATTCTTTCTAGTTCCTTCTCTAATTACTATTACTAATTCTCTATGTCTGACATATCCTCCCACTTTTTTTTTGTTTTGTTTTTGTTTTTTGTTGGTCATGGGGTCTGAACTCTTGGCCTGGGTGCTGTCTCTCAGCTTTTCAGTTCAAGGCTAGCGCTCTACCACTTGAGCCACAGCAGCACTTCCAGATTTTTCTGCATATATGGTGCTGAGGAATCGAACCCAGGGCCTCATGCATGCAAGGCAAGCACTCAACCACTGAGCCACCTCCCCAGCCCCATATCCTTCCACTTTTGTATTTCCAAACTCCTGGTTGACTTCAAGTCTTCCATAACATGCACCCTTCCCCCTTCCAATCTTTTTTGTTTGTTTGTTTTTGTCAGTCATGGGGCTTGAACTCGGCCTGGGAACTGTCCCAGAGCTCTTCAGTTCAAGGCTAGGGCTCTACTATTTGAGCCATAGCTCTACTTCTGATTTTTTGGTAGTTAATTGGAGATAAAGAGTCTCACAGACATTACTGCCCAGGCTGGCTTTGAATGGTGATCCTCAGATCTCAGCCTCTGAGTAGCTAGACTTACAGGTGTGGGTCTCCTTTCAATATCTTACTAGTGTTCTCTAACACAATCCCCTATAGGCCAGTCTCTTCATTGTCTCTTGTCCAATCCTGTCCCTACCTGCCTCTTCACCTGTTCTTTTCTATTTGTTTGGTTTTCTGTGTTGGTACTTATGGTTGAGTTCAGGGCCTAGGCCCTGTGTTTGAGTGTCTCTCCACCCTTCCTTTCCCCTCCCCACCCCCCATTTGAGCCACAGCTCCACTTCTGGCTACTTTGGTGATCAACTGGATGAAAGAGTCTCAAGAACTTTCCAGCCCTGGCTGGCTTCCAATCACAATCATTAGATCTCCCTCCTGTGCAGCTAGGATAACAGACTTGAGCTACCTGCACCTTGTTCGTTCATTCACCTTTCCTTGCCTAGAAATCCCTGGCCTTTTCTGAAGTCTGCAAGTCCTGGATTTGTGATATTCCAATCAATGATCCTTCTGTTTGAATTCTACTGTACTCAGGACCTGCTTCAATTATCTGTTCTTGCTCCCTCAAGTCTTAGTCAGATCCTTCTTATAGGCTCTTGCCTATAATCTCAGGTACTCAGGAGGCTGAGATCTGAGGATCCTGGTTCAAAGCCAGACCGGGCTAGAAAGTCTGTGAGATTCTTATTTCCAATGAACCACTTTCAGAAAACCAGAAGTGGTACTGTGGCTTCCGGTGGTAGAGCTGTAGCCTTGAGTGAAAAAGCTCAGGGACAGCACCCACGCACTGACTTCAAGCACCACAATCGCCCCACAACTGACCAGAAGATGGCCCAGGTAGACAAATCTGAAACAATTTTGTCTTCAATTAATCAGCAAAAATTGGAAGTAGAGGTGTGGCAAGTTTGAGAGTGCCATCCTTGAGTAAACAATAGTGCAAGGTCCTGAACTTTAAGTTTCAGTACTGGCTCATTTAAAAAAAAAAGTATCTTAAATAGCCCCAATATCACTGGCATCAACTTAATTTGGCTAAACATGTAATAAATATCATATCATTGATTCTATAAGCACTAAGGCTGCTATTATGGATAAAAGAGCACCTAAGAACTAGATATAGTGGTATACACCTATAATCCCAGCATTTGAGAAGCCCAAGGAGAGATCCTTTCTCCCCCAAAAATTAGAGGAATGGATGTTTTGCTATTTAGGAAAGAAGAGAAACACAGGTTGTCCTGATACAAATAGAAGGGTGTCTACACTGAAACAAGAATGTAAGCCACCAAATGGATATAGTCCTAGTAAGCCTGATGATGTCTAAGGACATTAATTTAATTCTACAGTGCCTAGCCTAGTGCTTGTCTTGGTAACTTGTTCATAAAAAAATCCCCACTTCACACAACCTGGTCTTCTTGGCAAAAAAACTCAGACTTCAAAGAAAGAAGACTGATGTTTGGGAAAACTGCCCAGAAACTGCCTTCAACTAAATAAATCACCAGCCAGCCAACAAGCATTGTTGTGGGACTGCTTTATGCTCTGAACTAGACCTCGTGGAGAAGCAGCAAGCAAAAGTTCTTGTTCTAAAGGGCTTCTTGATTAGGAGGAAATTAAAGAAATAATTAGCTACTAAACTTTTCTTTGCCCAGCAGAAAGCCTCTTGCTTCTAGGATCCAAACAGGGTGAGAAAGTGGTTTTACCTCCCTTCTTATTATTCAA